AGTTGCCTATGTTGAGGGAGGCGAATAGTCTTTTATGCTTTATTGCGGCTATTTCGGTCTGACGGGCTTGTAGCTACGACAATTTTTGGGTTCTAGGCAATAGCCCTGGTTCTATATATTTCGTATTAGCTCCCCTTGAATAGATTAGTGTTGCTCATCGGCAAACAGCTCGTGAATACTTCTAACAGGCTTTTGGGTACCGTAGGTAGAGGTTGTGTTTTATGCTAGATCGATGGAAGAACTTGGGAATAAAGACTTTAGGACTGCATCTAACCACGTGGACTTCCACTTCTTTCTGTCAGTGATGGATCCGCCTTTTCATTTGGTGAGAGGGTAACCTGCTTGATTATGACCGATCCCGACAGTACTGAAGTGCATCCTCCTCAGCCTTCTTTTCCATGGAACAAGTGGACTGATTGAATTTAGTCATTTATAATTGGTAGCATTATAAACAGGGTGCAGTAATCTGAGGGGCACCTGCTCAGAGTACACTTCCGCCTCAGGGGTAACTGACGACTATCCCATAACAAGATTTGTGTTAGCTGAACGCTTCTCACCGGGGAGTTATAGTCAAACAAACATGTGTTGCTCTACTGTGCAGTGAAGGAATTGTAATACTTTGATTATTTATGCGACTTTTCGTTTTGGTCTTGCAGGCACCTAAGGCATGACCTCCAGACCACACCAGTAGCTTCCCAACTATTCTGTACTTCGGTAGTGCATAATCTGCCATAGTTTCATGTTGCCTTTTGCCTTCGGGAAAGAGTCGGGTCGCTACTTTTGCGGCGGAGAAAAGCGAACCCGGTTCTAAAAGATAATCAGTCTGATTTCTCTTACCAAATGCTAGGTCAATGAGAGAATGTTACGCCACTTAAGAGGAGGGTGGGGAATTACGACTACTTCCGGGTGGTGTGGTTGATCCCTATTTGTTTCCTAATAGCACAGACTATGCAGTGCTGGTCAACGCAGGAGATTAACAAAACGGAGCGCTAGGGACGAAGCTTGGAAGAAGAGGAGGGCTATTTTGTGGTCCCCAGACTTCCCTGAAGTCGAAAGAAGACACAACACTCGAGCAGAATATATATTCAGCACAGAGAAGGTGTCTGGGCTACTATCATGGGTCGAAGGCCAACCCATCCAGCGAGGCACACGGAGGCAAATTCAAGGTACAAAAGTGGCGCCTTACCAGTACCGAGGGATAAACTACTATCGTATTACATAGCCTCCCTCCTCTTTTGAGCGTCGTCCCCGGCGCTCCCGCAGGTCAACCGCTCGCGTCAGCCATTACAACGTAGTCGGTGCTGTAAACACCAGAGATCCGACTGTGCCAATCACCAATTTAGCGTACAACTGAGGAGATACTTGACCTCAACGTCACTGATCCCTCTTGGCAGCTTGGCTGGATCTGGGGTTTCGTCCGGTTTGGGGATTTCATTCAGGACGGGGAACTGCACTGACCACCATGCGTGTCTATGGATGGATGTAGGAACACTGGCCTAAAAGCAGATCTGAGTAAGGAAGTACAAGATTTAAAACAGGTCCATGAGGGACGGTAGGGAAAGTCTGTAACGAAATTT